CAAGTTTAATGGAACATGAAAAGGTTTAAAGAAGGTTTAAGTTAATTTATTGAGATTTATGATTTGTTTGAAAATAATGTCATGATTAAAGATAATTATGATGCATAATCATGATGACAATAAAGTCAACCATATTTGGTATCAGTTGTTGACACCAGATCATTTAATGTTATCTGAATTTTCTAGAAAATTGTCTGACTATTTAATTACTTTGAATTTTACTGTTGCCTTTATCTCAAGATGTGTGGGACTGAAGGGGATTTTTTTTGTCTGATAAGTTCACGTGGTAATATCGTCATTGCTTTATGACCCATTTTATATAACAAAAGACGTCACAGCAAACCTTAGGACCAGGATATTAAACAAAATATTTACTTCATATCTTATCATCAACGACTTATCGCAAAAAGAGTTGCAAATAGACACCATGACAATGAAAAATCTGCTACAGCCTCCCAAGTATTTAAATGGCAATGAATTCCACTAATGGTATCAGTTTAACTTTGAGTTCGAAACTAAATATTAAAATATTTAAAGATGAAGTTTGCATTAGCACTTTTACTCGTCGCAAGTTGTCTTGGTAAATTATGAAATTATTCATTAAATTGCAAGAAATATTCTTAAAGTTTCTTTCTAATTTAACAATGCAGCAGCAAGCACTCAAGCTCAACAATCTGTTGATCTTAATAAAATCATCAGCTTCATTTTCAAACGAGCACTTTCACCAAATCGCTCCGAAGGTCTCGGTGGATCGCCATGGGATCCTTTGAATGTTGACCAATTTTCGCTTTTCATTCCTGACGTCCAAATTGCACAAAAGTAAGTTTTTGGATGCTTTGAAATTTAAATCGAGATTAGAATGAAATTTTATTCTGTTTAGTGTTGATGGAAAATTCACAAATGTTGAAGGCACCGGTCTGAGTAACTACGTCGTAAGTGATGTCAATGCCGACATCTTCCGAGGAAGAGTGAGTTTCAGTGTTAAATATCCCGAATTGACAATCAGAGGTCAGCAACAAATGAGTGGATTGTACAGTGGAGCTCCATTCACCACTTCCGGAGACTTCAATATTGTCGTGAGAGGTAAAACAGTTGAAATAAATAAAAGTGCAGAATATTAGTTAATAATTTCAATAACTTGTTTAGATGTGGAAATTCGGCCATCATTCCAAGTTGTTTTCTCCCCAAGACCACGATTAATTATCAACAATGAAGCAATTTCAGTGGGATCAGTTTCTGCATCTTTCACCGGACTTGGACCTGCTTCAATGGAACAACAAATCAACGCTGTAATCTCGGCTGGAGCTCCGCAATTCATTGCCGAAAATCAAAGCTTCGTGAATGCGCAAATTATTAGATTCTTCTCTGATTTTGTTAACAACCTCGTCTAGGAAGTCGCGAAAGCGATCAACAGTGAATACTGCAGATAAACAGTAGCCCGTTGTAGCTGCCAATCATTTTGCTATGTAATTGAAATTTATTTGAATAAAACTTTGGTGGTTTTTATTTAGCAAAACTTAACTGTTTTCATTTAATTTAATTTCTCTATGCCAAGTAAGATTTATTTTATTGATTTGTTAAGTAGATTAGTTTTGCTGATAATGAGATGAATAAATCTCATTTTATGAGGAAATGTAAATTAGTCATGAAATAATCCTGAAAAATATGCGAAAGGTGTTAAAAACGTTCGTAAAATAAATCAAATTTTAATGACAATCTTAATGTGATTTCATCAACATTCATTGGAGAGACGTTAAGGACTCTAGAGTTGACATAAATTATTAATGAAATAATTGATGCTTAAAGAATGCAAAACTTGAAATGAATATCTACAGAGACATGTCGAACAAATTTGATCATTGTCCGCACCGAATAAAAAATAATTCACAATTTTGAATATCAGAACCCTGGCGGGATACATCAATGGACGTTGTTATGACTTTAGCTTCTTCTTTAAAGTATAAAAGATGTAAAATAATACGCCAAATGAATGAATTAACAAGTAAAAAGTTAAAAAGGAAGAAGCGCTCAACTCTTATCTAGATATGTACGAATTAAGAAATAAATATTAACAAAGAAGAAAAAACAAACAATTTTAAATTATTTTTGTTTATTTATTTCATTCAGAAGAAAAGCTTTAAATATGTCCTAGTGATAAAAGACAACAAGTTTTTCCACGAAAAAGCTGTCTTATGGGACAATATTTGCTCAACTTGATTAAGGCAGTTATAACTTGACATTGTTGTGACGAAATTCTGGCTGATTTTGCAAGTATAAAAGACAAAAAATTAGGATGAGCAGAACATTATACTCCATACTAGAACGGAAAGTCAAATGATGAAGAAAACATTTTTGATAATTTCGGCAGCTTTGCTGTTTGCTGGTGGTTTTGGTACGCAATTATTCATTCAATTATGTTTTATTCTGCGCTTATTATAAAAATTCTCATGAATTACATTCAATTTCAGCTTTAGATGCTGAGATGCAGGCATCAATTTCAAGAGAAGATTTTGACATAATTTTCTCAAGATTGACGAGTCCCCCTCAATGTCAACAATCTCGATGGGATCCTCTGAATGTTAACTATTCGATTTATATTCCTGACGTCATTGTAGCGAAATAGTGAGTGTTTCTGGAAGTTCGATCACTATAATTCATATTAAAAATAATGTTTCTCTAGTTTAAATGTTTTGTTTGTTGATTTGACGATTGAAGGTCTCAACACTTACATCATCAGCGATTTCGCTTTTGGTGCAGATCGCATAAGTTTCCAGCTTAGCTCTCCGTTTGTACAGGTAAACGGACTTCACCGTATGCACGGATTCTATTCTGGGACATATCTGCCTGATTATCCAGACTTTGAGTTCGATACTCATGCATATCCAGATATCGATACGGTGACTGCAAACATAACAGGTGAATTTTCACATTTTAATATGAAGTGAAGTTTGAAGTGATAAAATTGTTTTATCATTTAGATTTAACAGTACGAACAACGGTAAATTTCCAAGGCGACCGAGCTATACTTTCGTTCGATTCTTTCCTATTTGGAGCAGTTTCCTGTGAGTTTAGAGGAATGGCATATTATGACGAATATGATGAAATCATTAGCAAGGAAATAGGCGACGTGCTTCCAACATTTTTCAGTGAAAATCAACCATTTGTAATTAGAAAACTTCTTGAGTTTTACGTAGAAAATTACAGCGTTGAACCAGAATGTTAAATTCAATTTAAATCTTTGTCTACCAAATGCCCAAATGCTTTTATCAAATAGTCATCAACTTAAAAATTTATTAGTCAATATTGGTTGTCTACCCGTTAAAATTTGTAGAAATAAATAGAAACAACACAAACCTTATTTTACCTTTTATTTGAAACATCTGTTGTTACATCAAAGGCTTGTAAAATAATAAACTGAAATCAACAAAGCTAATCTTAATGTTTTATCACAAGAACAATTTTCGAGTCATTGTTACATATTTTAATAAATTCATTCATTAAGATCTATCAAAAATTTCAAAGGACACTCAAAATGTCTTTAAAATCTTATAGCAATCTATAAAGAAATTACTTTTGGAAAATTATCGAAATTGAGATGGAAAATCAAGAAATTCTTGTTCGGGGTCATCTCGATTATTTGTCTAGTTTAAATAAAAGTCGCATAAAAAGCAGAAATTATGTCTCGCAAATGAAAAGCATTCGTGGAATTTTCCTCCTCGAATATTATTGTCGTAATTTGAGACGATGGTTTTCAATACTGCTGCTTGCTCCATTCACTGAAATTCATCGCTTTAAGTTGGAAATAAAGTGAAAGAATCTTAACGATATCAGGTTCTGAGATTTAATGTTATCTAAATTTTCTAGAAAATTGTCTGACTATTTAATAACTTTGAATTTTATTGTCGACTTTATCTCAAGATGTGTGGGACTGAAGGGGATTTTTTTTGTCTGATAAGTTCACGTGGTAATATCGTCATTGCTTTATGACCCATTTTATATAACAAAAGACGTCACAGCAAACCTTAGGACCAGGATATTAAACAAAATATTTACTTCATATCTTATCATCAACGACTTATCGCAAAAAGAGTTGCAAATAGACACCATGACAATGAAAAATCTGCTACAGCCTCCCAAGTATTTAAATGGCAATGAATTCCACTAATGGTATCAGTTTAACTTTGAGTTCGAAACTAAATATTAAAATATTTAAAGATGAAGTTTGCATTAGCACTTTTACTCGTCGCAAGTTGTCTTGGTAAATTATGAAATTATTCACACCAAATTGCACAAAAGTAAGTTTTTCGATGCTTTGAAATTTAAAGTGATAAAGATTAGAATGAAATTTTATTCCGTTCAGTGTTGATGGAAAATTCACAAATGTTNAGCACTCATGCTCAACAATCTGTTGATCTTAATAAAATCATCAGCTTCATTTTCAAACGAGCACTTTCACCAAATCGCTCCGAAGGTCTCGGTGGATCGCCATGGGATCCTTTGAATGTTGACCAATTTTCGCTTTTCATTCCTGACGTCCAAATTGCACAAAAGTAAGTTTTTGGATGCTTTGAAATTTAAAGTGATCGAGATTAGAATGAAATTTTATTCCGTTCAGTGTTGATGGAAAATTCACAAATGTTGAAGGCACCGGTCTGAGTAACTACGTCGTAAGTAACGTCAATGCCGACATCTTTCGAGGAAGAGTGAGTTTCAGTGTTAAATATCCCGAATTGACAATCAGAGGTCAGCAACAAATGAGTGGATTGTACAGTGGAGCTCCATTCACCACTTCCGGAGACTTCAATATTGTCGTGAGAGGTAAAACAGTTGAAATAAATGAAAGTGCAGAATATTAGTTAATAATTTTAATAACTTGTTTAGATGTGGAAATTCGACCATCATTCCAAGTTGTTTTCTCCCCAAGACCACGATTAATTATCAACAATGAAGCAATTTCAGTGGGATCAGTTTCTGCATCTTTCACCGGACTTGGACCTGCTTCAATGGAACAACAAATCAACGCTGTAATCTCGGCTGGAGCTCCGCAATTCATTGCCGAAAATCAAAGCTTCGTGAATGCGCAAATTATTAGATTCTTCTCTGATTTTGTTAACAACCTCGTCTAGGAAGTCGCGAAAGCGATCAACAGTGAATACTGCAGATAAACAGTAGCCCGTTGTAGCTGTCAATCATTTTGCTATGTAATTGAAATTTATTTGAATAAAACTTTGGTGGTTTTTATTTAGCTAAACTTAACTGTTTTCATTTAATTTAATTTCTCTATGCCAAGTAAGATTTATTTTATTGATTTGTTAAGTAGATTAGTTTTGCTGATAATGAGATGAATAAATCTCATTTTATGAGGAAATGTAAATTAGTCATGAAATAATCTTGAAAAATATGCAAAAGGTGTTAAAAATGTTCGTAAAATAAATTTAAAATTTAATAACAATCTTAATGTGATTTCATCAATATTTGTTGGACACCATTTGGATAAAATTTGCACAAATAAATAGAAACAATGCAAACTTAATGTTATCTTTTATTTAAAGCATCAGTGGTTACATCAAATAGTTGTAAAATAATAAACTGAGAGCGATAAAAGCTTTCATGAGATCAGATAACTTAGCTTATCTTAATATCTTATCAGAAGAACAATTCTCGAGTCATTGTTACCTACCTACATATTTTGATAAATTCATTGATAAAATCTGTCAAAAGTCTTAATGAACATTAAATGTGTTTTCGAAAATCTTAATCTAAGAGTGAACAAAAAAGCTTTTAATTCTATATTTATGTACAGATAAACAGACGAAATCAAAATTTTATAGCGTTAAATCTGTAAAATTCATTCGCTATTGTCTCTTGAAGTGACAAATATTCGCCTTTATTTTCTAGGAATTTGGAGTATAACGTATCAGATTGAATCACGTAACTTATGATGTCAGCATTATTTCCAGACAATTAATGTAAAGAAAGAAATTGCTTCCGATTGACCTATTTCGAGATAAAAGTTTTACGATGAGAAGGAAGTTGATGAAATAATGTTGAAAATTGATCACTAATTGCATACATTTTCGAAATAATGTGGCTTATTTATCACATAGAAAAATATTTACTGACTTAAAACTTATTATAGTGAAACGAAACTATTTTCAATGATGATGAAGATTGTTGATTTAAAAGTCAAACACACACTCGACACTTAATTGTGCAGTTTTAATATGTTTTTCTGTCTAGAGGTGAATAAGAATAAATTGTAGCTTTGTACCTAGAAAAATCATTGAAGGTTTAAATCTTTTTCAATTAAGCCATTTGTCGTTGAACTACCGTTTGAAGACCATAATAAGCATCTAATGTCTAGCGAGTAGAGCAAAACAATTATTCATCCATGTTTTTAGCAATAACTTTAAATGTTACTCACGATTTTGAACATTTCTTTAGAATTTCAAGAAAACTTTTCATAAACCTCACACAAAAAGAAATTTTTCCTTAAAGTTCACTGAATTGTCACCAAGTTGAAATGTCAAGACAAAACTAGAATTTATGTGAAAGTGTTTGATGAAGATTAAATGTTTTATTACCAATAATGAGCATTCAACGAAGGTGAAAATTTTTGTTTAAAAATATGCGCGACCCATAAAACGAACAAATTGAGATTTGCAAACATTAATTCTCTAATAATGATGACAAATGAATTTATGATTTAGAATTTACTCTGTTTGCTTCCGATAACTGCAGAATTTCATGACATGAAGCTTTGAAATTGAATTTGGATATTAACGAAACAATAAAGATAACATTTAAAAATATTTTTCCAAAGATTTGAATGACTTGCTGAATAACTCGCAGCCGAATTATCGTCGCGATAAAAGATTTTGTTTTTCACTTAAAAGTTGGCTAATACTCGTTTGTCCCAGTTTTTTCTTTCTTTTAGCGAAAATATTAATAGACTGCGAAACAAAACAACTTGTGACTGAATATTTTAGCCGGATAGATAATTCAATTGTCACACTCGTCAAATATTATCGCAAATGAGTGAAAAGTTCAACGTGGGAGCGATGAGTGTTCATTTTTTCAATTATTAAATGTTGATATGAATTCCATTTATCTTTAAAGGCCAACTTTTTAATAGTTTAATGCTCTACAGACCTCAATAAGCCGACATCAGTCATAATAGATCCACAAAAAAATTAAACTGAGTTCTTTATGTACAGTTAAGATGCATTCACGATTTAATACAAACTTTAATGTGTCTAAACAACACTTGAAGTCACCTCCTTCAGCTCTGCATAATAAGCAGTGAGCGTAGAATGAAGTCTGGGAAAATAATTAAAAGCAGAGAGAAATAATTGAAATTCGACGTAAAACGTTCTCTTTCTTTTTTGTTGATGCTCTTACCTTGAGATGATTAGAAGTGGTTACAGCAATAATTGATTTCGATGTGAGTGGCGTCGTCAGTTTCAATATGTTAATGGATTTCCGTGGTTTTGTTGATGAAATTTTCGGACGTAAGATTAAACTCTATGCATGATGGATCGGTCATTGGAAATTCATTTGCTACTGTAACTGCATCATTTGACAGCACTCAATAAATTTAAACTTCAAAAGCAGTTACATAACTTTAATGATATCTACTTGTGTGAATTAGTTTAATTTATTTATTTATTGCGGCTAATCTCATTCTCTGACATTTTCAAATTTCCTCTAACAATAATTTTAAAATGAATGCCGTGGCCGTATTGGCCTTGAGCATTTATGAAAATAAAATCTTTCCCGTATCCTCCAGAATTGTATGTGGGAATGGCACCTGTTCCCGCTGGCATTTGATCTAAAACCTTCACACATGTAATGTAGTAGGGCGAATCAATGTGGATTTCAATGACGCCACCAAGCGTAGAGTTATTTGCTTCGAGTCGTGTATCGTCAATGTAAATTATCTAAAATATGTCGAGTCACTTGAATAACATTTCTTTTTTATGTTTCTATCTAAATAGAAAAATATTTATAAATCGTTCTTACCTTATCATCATCTTCACAATGCCCTATTTCAAGATTGTTTGGAAGTTTTGGTGGAGCCGTTGTTGTTGTGGTAGGCTTTTTTGTTGTTCTCGAGAAAAAGTTCCAATCAATTTCTCTCACATTTCTTTGAATACTTTCTAATGATAACTCATTCTTGTTAATTGGCGTTGCGAAAACAACAGAAACTGCCAACACTAATAACACTAATGGCTTTGTTACGATCATTTCTAACTGCTTAAAATTATTTTGATGTTTCCTTGAATCTGCAAGAGATTTTGAATACTTACAATTTAATTTTCGTAAATGAAATACGACTGAATCTTATTTTCTGAGCGTTATCAGTTATCAATATTTATGAGAAGAAAAAATAAATACTCAAAGGTTAGTTTTGCAACATGAGAATCAAGAGAACGATTTACTTATTATTTATTGACGCTTTAATAATGTTTCTGTTGTGCACTCAGAAAATTCATTGATGATTACAAGCATCTTAGTATAAAATTTATGAGCTTTCATTAATATTTTACTCGAGAATCTCATCGCATTTCAAATACGATAATCATATTCGAAGAGAATCACATTGAGCATGCAAATAAATAATTTCTACACTTTAGAAAAGTATTTAAATGAATGTTCTGGCTTCACAAGTTTAAGTATCACTTGAAACTCATCAACTTAAGAAACTTAATTGAGTGAAAGAAAATGAATTATTTATACTTTTCATTCATTGTTTTATTATCTATCAACATTTGCTTTTCAAGAAGCGCTGAAACTGGAGAAGAATGGGAAAGTAATTTATAGAACTTTTTTATGATATTTTATGAAAAGTAAATGTAATTTCGGTTGACTTTAGCGGTGACCACAGCCAATAGGAAGAGCAGTAGTTCTAGTGCTATAGTTCAAAGATGTGCTACAGATAGTAAGTCTAATTTCTAAATGTTTTGAAAAAGAAATTTTCACATTTTATTAAATTCCAGTTGTAAGTCAGGGTAAAACTGTCTGTGAACTAAATCTAGCTTCTTCTATCACAAATACCGCCTGCAACCGTTGCTGTACTATTGCTTTGAGATCGGGTGGAAGTTGTAACACTAATAAAGTGTGTGCTTGTAACGATCGATAAAAAATGAATGTAAATTCCAAGTTCTAATAAATCAAAACAATAACAAGGTGAAAGCCTTGAGAAAGAGAGAAACACTTTTAATCTTATCATTTTCTGGTGTTACTGGTTGATTGCTAGAGTTCACTTTTCAACATATGAATATGATTATATTCATTTAAACTTTTGAAAATAATTCAAAGTCGTCGGTCAGATCTATCTGACCCTTCGAATTATTAAAGGTGTCCGTAGACGTTTACCTCTCCAAAGTTAGTTTCAGGTGGAGAGTGTACATTTTTCTCACCCGGAGAACTTTTTCTCACCCGGAAAATTGCTTAGACCTACTTTGTATGAAAAGTATGCAATATTCAAAAGAAACATTGAAAAGTTTCGAAATATTTTCAAAAGATGGCGCTGGTTTTCAAAAGCTCATATTAAGCTTTCGTAAAAGCTTTTTGTTATTGATTGATTCGTTCTTTCATTTATGACTCATAACTTTCGATTTCAACTAAAAAGTGATCAGAATTTTCTTAGATTTCAAAAAATAAAACATGTTACAACTTTATTTTCATAGTTTTCTTTGTAATATTTTACAAACATTTTATATAAATGGGAAATAATTGTCTTTGATCATTTTCCCGTTTACATTCTCTTTTCAAAGCTCTTCTCTGATATCCAACCACTTTGGTTTCGTTCCTTAAAATGTAGAGATTAACACTGATCTTTAATTGGAAGTTTATCCAACAAATGCTAATTCTAACACGTTTCAAAAGTGCAACTGTTTTTAAATATTTTATGAATTAAAAAATGAGAAAAGTTCATTCAACTTTTGCAACCATCTATGGAATGATTCGGTTGCTTTGTTGAACGGATACTTCACTCGTTTAAGAACTTAATGCTTCCTTCAACTAAATTATTAAAAACCTTCAATTAAGTCTTTATAAATGATTCCATTTGATGGCAACTTAAATTCTTTTTGTTTGTTTAAAACTTAAACTTACTTATGAGTTGTGATTGACTTTTTTTCTATTTTTATACGTAATAAGTATTAAAGCAAAATTAATGTTCCAGTGCACAATTCGCATACATTGGTTGAGTTTATATATTTTGAGATTTTATGAGAAAAACCTTAATCAAACATTGCCATTTGACTGGTTGGGACAACTTCGAACAGCATTTGAAAGAAGATTGTAACTTTATCTGGAAAAGAAATTTTGATTAAAATATTTTCAAATGTCATTACATAAATGTCTAAAAAAACTTACTCATGAATGCTGGATGCATGCGGTAGTGCACAAAAGGAACGTAGACTACCAAACCGCATAATATGAACAGGATGGTGTATAAATATTCAAGTTGTGGTTTGTCAATGATCGGGCCGATAACAAGATACGCAGAAATCACAAGAACTATGACTGGAATGATAATCGGCACCTTATATGGACGTGGGTAATTTGGCTTTGTATATCTCATGACAATCAATGCAAGCATAGCACCAGCATAGAAAATCCAAGCTGTAAAACTGAAGAAATCAATAAGAGAATCGATGGTGCCATAGAGAACCATTGCACCAGCAATAAGTGAATGAAAAATCAATCCTGGAGCTGGTGTCAAGCGACGAACATGGACATAAGACAAAATATCCAACAAATGACCTTCACGTGATGCAGCAAAGCACAAGCGACCTGCAGCGAAGAGAGTTCCATTTGCTGATCCAAATGTACTGATTGTCACACTCAATGGCATGATCCAGGCAAACAATCCAAGAATTCTGTTACCAAATGTCACTGCAACAGCTTCTGACTCAATCATTTCATCGGGCGACATTGCTGCTAGATATGAAATGTTAATTAAAGCGTAGCAGACTGTCACAAGAGGAATTGCTATGATGATTGATCGTGGAAGGTTCCTGGAAGTTACAAAATTAAAATTTCCATCACATTTGTAAATTAATTTCGACTCTTCTTACTTGCTGGGATTTTGAATTTCTTCTGTGACATAATTTAAGTTGTTCCAACCGTCATAAGCCCACAAACCAGTGTAGAAAGCAGTTGCAATAACTCCCATTGAAGGTGTGGGATTGTTGAATGCATTTGACAAGTGTTGAGTGTTTCCTTTAAAAAGGAAAAGGTTTAATTACTTACTTATATAACAATAATGTTTATTTAATTGTTTATTTTACCTTGGAATAATTTCCATGCACCGCCAACAATTATAATCAAGACAGCAATCAACTTGGCTGACGTGAAAATATTTTGAACAGCCATTCCCAAGTTAACGCTATAACAGTTAACAAAAAGGATACAAACTGACAGAACGAGATCTTATTAAATGATAATCAAATTGGAAAAACAATCATCAACTCACCAATACATAAAAGTGCGACCATTTTAACAACAATAATCGGTGGATTACATTCCGAGATGAACGCTTCAACAGCATATTGCGCAAACGAAAGACAAATGATGGCCATTTGTGAGGGCTTCAACACCAGAGTGGAGACCCAAGAGAAAAGAAACGCTGGGGCGGATCCGAATGCATCCATAAAATAAGCCCACTCAGCGCCAGATGATGTATTCATTGTGCCCAACTCGGCATAGGCCAGCGCGCCTGTTTTAAAAAGATTTGAGATTCTCATGATAATCAACAAGCTACAAATTAGGTGGTAGAATTTCATCTAAAGATGAACAACGCTAATTAATGGTTTGCTCTTAAAATACTTCAATCTTCAGGGTTAATAAAATCTCAGAGATATCATTCAACTTGAGTAATCAAATTCGGTCTAATTAAACCTCATTAAAACTTTTATTCTCTTAAATGACCCTCGATTCATTTCTTTTCTCTTTTTTTCTGTAAAAGTTAAAGTATAACTTCAATTTTTATTATTTAAAAACAAAACTTTTAGAATTGTGACAATTATAAATTGCTTTTCATTTTAGACACTTGATGACAGACGACAAATCTCGTTAACTTAGGAAATTTTTTCAACAAAATTTCATAATCTTCTTTCTTATAAATATTATTAAGAAAACTTTGAAAGCTTCTTTTTCAAAACGAGAAAAGATTCGATGCAAAAATTGAAGGGAGGAAAACTTTTGTCGAAAACTGTTGTTGACAACTTGACAAGATTGGATAATAAGAAGAGAAAATGCAATGAAAGCATTATCAGTGCCTAAGGACAAACAAATTCGGAAGATATAACATTGTAAGGAGATTAGAAAAAAGGTTCAAATTGTAAGTTACACTAATATCATCAACTGCTTTTATGATGTTGCCAATCAAATCGATGTTTGGTTGAAACATGTCAATTCATGTTTACAAAATTCCAAACAGATTTTCGTTCCGTGATAAGTTTCGAATCGATTGCTAACGATGTTGGTATTGTACTTGTTTTCTTAAACAATAACTTAAGAAAACATAAAGACAAGAAGATTCTTATCATAAGACGTGACATTGAAATTCAATCTACTTGAAGGCGCCGATTATTACTAAGCGAGTCAATACAATAACCGAAAATGGTTGACAACGAACATGTCGCAAGATATTTTCAATTCTCATCACAAAACTTGCACAAAAGGATTAGAAAGAGAATCTTTGTGAGCTCTTCTCTTGTTACTATTTTTGTACAAATATCCTGGATTTATTGTGGCAACCGTCTTATGCTTTTAGTCATTCTTACTGTAATATGAGATTTAATGAAACAGAATTTTATTATACGACTTTGAATAAAAAGATAAGCAAAGATTTGACTCTCATTTTCATGACGCTGACTAAAGCTTTGCTTTCATTTTTAGAAGCTAAACAAAGTGAATAATGAATTAACTTTATAAAAACCTCATTTACGCTTCCATGTTTTTAATATTTTAGGATCAAAAGAAATTCTCTGAAACTTTTAATGAATTATTCACTCATGTAAAGATGGATGAAATAAAGTTTAATATTTTTCATGTTATTCTTCCAATGTTTTCCAATATTTATTATTAATAAAAAAGCTTCTTTCCTTCTCTTATAATTGGTTAGAAGCAAACTTTTCTCTCAACTCCCAATGTTTATTCCATTGATTCAATGCAGTGTTTACATTCCACTCAATATCATTAATGTTACTAAATAAACATCAAAATCGAGCATCTTCCCATCGGAAGCTGGTATTTCTTACTTTATAAGTAAATATTCGTTAAGTTACATAAACCTTTTTTAAAATTATGCCAAAAACAATAAAATGGTAAATTAAAAATAAATTGAAAAATGAAAATTTTATTTTCTACGATGAACATTTTTTAATGCTCAAAATATTTAATTTAATAATTTTCTTTGAGAATTTATAAGAAAATATCACCGACGAAGCTTTTTTTGTATATTTACCAACATCGTTAAATGTTTATTAATTCTATTATTTTCCCAACTGAATAACAAGCGGTTGATGTGAGTATTTACAAAGCACTTCAGCTTTTTGCTTCAATTAATTTGATGCTCAAATCTAATTGACAAATATTAAACTTTCATCAGTTACTTATTAATTCCAATAAAGTGTTTAAATTTCAAATCAAAATATTTGATCATCTGATGCATTTGTCAAGGTTTGTTTAATTTAATAGTTATCAAGAAAATCTTCTTATTTAATTGCGTGGGCGGATTCGCATAAGAAATTTGCCTCTTTGGCACGAGTTCAAGTTTTCTGTTTCAATTTTGTCTTGTTGTTACTTTCATAATTTATTGTGTGGGACCAATTTTATTATCAGCAAAAATTTGCCATTTTTTTCTTTTCTTATTATTAGTTAATCTTAATTGTAACAGAAAATTTGACAATAAAAATAAATATTGTCGAGACAACGCGCGAAAACTTCTCGAGAGTTTTATATTATTAATAGAATGGAAGTTTGTTTCCTTGGACGGGCAGCGAAGTGGTTGATTATCTTGTCACATGATTGTGTATTTTGCGTAGAGAATTTTCCTTTTTTCTTATTTATTCTGTCTTTGTTTCCATTATTCTCAACACAAATCTTAATGGCACTTATTCGGAATTGTACATCGCTCGTGAGAAGCGACCGTATGGGTTTCATTTATTTGTTTTTTATTACGACAAGTTGAGATAATATAATCGGACATTGATTGACATGTAAATGTTATGTTGTTCTAATTTAGTTTTTCATCAACTTTCGGTTGTTAGGAGTGGAAATTGAATAACTTTCAACTCGATCGTCTTTCAATTTGTTATAATTTAGTTCAATGAAAAAAATTACTCACCTAACAATGACAGCAAACCGCAAGCCATCCAAATGATGAAGCTCACACCAACGGAGCCTGTTCTAACAAGCAGTCCACTTGGCGACACAAAAATTCCAGATCCTGATTGTGTTGTTGATCGTTTTCATTTCATATTTTTTAATTTTGTTTTTGTTTTCATAAAAGGACAAAAAACTTCAATCAGCACTTGATCTTACATGATAAATTTAAAGAGGTTTACGTACACTTTTCCCCCGCGGTTTTTAAATTAATTTTATCAACTTAAACCTAACATGTTCTCAACAAAAACTTTGGAATTTGTTTTGATAATATTTTTATAATCTTTTTTAGGCGTTTATTTAGTTCCGCACCGAAACTAAAACAAAGAATGTTTTGGGTTCTGTTAAGGCATAAAATTTGAATTTCAAATGCCGCAAAGAAATTTGTGGCACTCTCAAAAATTACCATTTTGTGCGCGGAACAGAAACACATCGTTGAGGGGCGACAGGACAGAGCTTTTGTCTGTTGTCTCACGACATGAGAGTTGTGGAAGTCATGCGTAACATTTTGTCACTAACAAATTCCAGTTGTTTCATGAAGAGTACGAAGATGAACTTCGGTTATTTATCTCGGCATTACCTATCATTGTTCCGACGATTAGAGCAACCCCACTGAAGAGTCCCAGCCGTTTCTGGAGTTGAACAGGGTCCTTCGTCTTTGTGCACGACCCCTCCAACGACTCCCGCATCCTCCCGGGCCTAATGTCAATTTCATCTCGTTAGTTTACCAAACAAATTCATGTTAAATGCTTTTCATTTTTAATTAACTTACCCGCATGGGTCGGGCGCTGACGTTTCGGTCGACCTTCCACGAAAATTTGCGGCTGAATTTTTACAGAATCCATCATCAATTGGGGGAAAATGATTATTATTCCATCCATGTTTTGAACTCTCTTTAACTGATCCATTGTGTCCTAAAGAATTGTAAATTTTAAATCACTTTCTACGTCAATCCTCAAATTCTTAAGTAACCAGCAGACACTCATTCATCATTCAATACCAGAATTCCAGAGAAAATCTCTCGCACGTTAAAATTTTAATTTTCACACTTCCAAAAATAATTTCCATTCATTCAAAAAAGGAATTTGAACTTTATTTTTTACTCTCATTCAAGTTATTCTCTCGTACACGATCCAAAAATATATTTTTTATTCTATCACGGCAGAGAAGATTTTAAAAAAATACTACGAGAAAGTTTCACTGAGAAAAACTATTTTAGGAAATTATGAGTAAAGTGGCGCTCGTCACGAAATCAAGAATTTTCAATTGCAAATTAATTGAAAAGGAATCTCAATCATTCATTTGTTGTTTTCACCTTGTATCGTGTCTTGGTTGAAGTTTACTTCAGGCTTATCGTTATTTAATTTTTGTACAAATGTATCACGCATCTCATCAGATGATTGATACTAAAGAACCTAAAAATCTCACTAAATTAACAATTTCTCTTTTAATTTCACTTAACAGTCTTTTAACAATTTTTATTTTGATTTATAAAAATAGAAAACTATAAATGCTTCTAATTGTCTTTCACTAGTTTTGTTTATTTCTCTCGACTTCTATCCCGCAGCGCTTCTGAAAATCTAATGAAAATTTTTCGTATGAAACTTTTCGCTTTTATTGAGAACAAAAAAAAAATTTTTTTTTCGATGTATGAAAATATTTTTCATTTTCTTTTTCTTTCCATTCTTGATTTGGCGGCGCTGTGAGCAAAAAAAAAAGAAAATTCGACAGCAGCAACACGATCATTATTTTTCCTAGGTTTTTTAGAGTGTGTGGTTATGCTTGAAAAAGGATTTCTGAAAGTTTGTGAGTTTTCATTGTTTCTGTGTGTGAATATTTTTAACCGATTTTCACGGTTGTTGTTTTAACACAGAAACGAAAACTGTTATTAAAAGCTGTTGACAAACAAGCTTTAGGCAGCATAATTAAAATACTAGTCATGCGAAAATTGTTCGACTATACACATGACAATCCTCACATACCCATTCAACGCACACTGAAGTCTCATTTAATTTTTACACTTCACAAAAATATTTATTTTCTTCTTATATCTTTTTCTCCCGACATGACATGCAAAGCATGTGACTACAGCTAAATTTGTGAAGAGAAAAATTAAAAATAAAACGATGTTATTTAAAAGTGTGTGAAATTGAGAGATTTTTTTCAGATATTAAACCGAGAATGCCTAAGAGAAGAAAAAAAAATGTTGCATCACACAATCAACTATTGATATGAGATTTCTTGTAAGATTTCAACGATCATAATTCGATTTTTGTAGCTGGAAGGAATTGGGAAGCTGATGGAAAATTTTTCATGTGACAAGAAAATGAAAAGCTTTTCACAAACATTTTCAATCATTAGATTAAATCATATGATGGATTTCGTTATTTATGATCCATCGTCATCTGAACTTGATTTTTTTTCAGACGTCGCCATCGCAAACACTCTCTTGCAAAAAAATAAATAAAACATTCAAAAATATTTTTAGATTAATAACAGTTCGAGAACAAAACAGTATCAGGGAAATGTGATTTTTTATTCTACTTGTCGTGCGGTTTCAAATTCGAGAATGCCAGAAAATTCCGGAGAACAAAATTGCGGCAGATAAGTTCTATTTCAATTACTTCTTTGTAAGAGCGGCAAAACTGCAATGAAAGCTTTTGCATTTGAAGGTGTCGATGGTACACGCAAATACAAAAGCCTTCATTGCAGTTTCGCCGCTCTTACAAAGAAATAATTGAAGTAGAACTTATCTGCCGCAATTTTGTTCTACGGAATTTTCTGGCATTCTCTTCAAATTCACAATGAAACAAACTGCGTAGTCAGGAAAACAGATTAATTAAGTTTTTCTCTAAAATGTATACAATAATGAAATGAATCACAGAGAATGATCAAAATTAAAACACATTTTATAAGTAAATGAGTAGTTTGAAAGAATTTCAATGGATTTCGAGGTTTAAGTAGATTAGGTAGTTAAAAAAGTCAGCGTCCGATGATGTGAAACCCTCGACGTGACGTCTTCAGTCTGCTATTTCTGAATCAACCGACAACGATTTCCTCACGCGAATCGTCAATAACAAACCTGACATTTTCTTAACTTACAATTAACTGTCAATAACTAATTACTTAGCATTAATAAGTGCTAATAATTAATAGATTTCACCAATGAGAGAAATGCTTTTACGACTACCGACACTCAAAATTATTTCTCTCATAAATTATTAAATAAAAAATGAATTTCAAGCAATCTTCATGTGCGTCATTAAAGATCATAAATATTTCAAGCAAATTTATAAATTTCTCATCTTTACTCAAAAAACACATTTGCAAATTGATTTGAAGCGCTTTGGAGCGAAATATCAATTGAGAAAATTGGAACAATCAATAAACGTCTGTAAAACTCATTTGAACTTAAAAAATGTCTCGTATCAACTTCTTTTGATGTTTGCAGCTAGTAAAATCTGGTTCAGGGAAGAATAATTAAACACATGCCGACATTTTACAATTTTAAACATTTTCACAGATAAATTTGAAGAAAAATCAAAAATGTGCGTCATTAATTCGCTTGTATCAAGAATTAAAAATTTGTTAGAGATACACACCCACGAAAGATAAAAAAATAAACAAATTTTGGTCATTGAAAGTTTTTGTCTCGGTGATCTTGTAAAACAATAAAAATTAAGACAAATTTGAGGTTTTTCATGTTTTAAAAACAAAACAATCCGCAAACTTCACCCCAAAGTATGAAAAAAGAAATTTTTAATTAAAACATTACACAATTTTATGCTTTGAAATGAAATTAAACTTTTAATATGTAATGCGCAATTTCCACAATGAACATAATTCCATTACACGGTTTCACAAAGAACAGATGAAAATTTCATGGCCACGTAACCAAAAGGAAAATATTCAGTTCGTTGTCTTAATGACGATCTAATCTAAGCAGAAAGCTTGCAAAAAAAAAGGAAAAGCTCTGTTCAAATATTTATGGGAAAATAAATACCAAAGCTTGTGCTCGTGCAGACCAAAAAGATTGTCGACTTGCTGTTAAATCTTCTTTCGTTCTTAAATATTAATGAAATGTTTAAAAGAAAAATCACGAAAAACTTTTAATATTAAAATTCAAAGCATTAATTAATAAATTAAAGAAGTCAACACATAATATAATTAATAGTTTAATGTCTTCAAAATTATTTAAGGAAATTGTGAATCAAGCATCAGAAAATTTATTACTTAAATAACTCAATCGTGCCATTTGAAAACAGAAATTAATTCAAATTTCCTCTGACTATTTATATTTACGATGAGAAATTTGAGATCAAATAAATGTTGATCGCGACTAATTCGTTCAATTTCAATAATGATTAATGACAATAGGAACCTTACTCAGCGTCAATTATTTAATTAAAAAACATTTTCGTGATGCTTCGTGTAATGAAAGTAATTGATGAAAAATAAGTCGTCTTTATTACTAGAACGAAAATTTTGTTTTTATTTATCCTGGGAAGTGCGCCAAACGAGCAGCATTTTTATTACTGACTCAACTGATGTTTATTTGATTGTTTCATGAATGCTTGCAAATGATCCCACGCTAGTTTAAATGAGAGGGAACGAGAAAGCGTTTAGCAATACACATTTCGATTGTTAACAGTTTTTATGCGTGTACTGGGAATATTTCTGATCTTTTATCGCTTTTTTTGTGGATTATGAGAGTTTGTGACGTCAAAAAACTTCGCTTTGCTTTATCGCTTCAAACATTATTTGAGATTATGAGAATTATTTTGTAAAGATTAATCGAAGGTTAGCAGAATTAATAATTGAGCTAAAGCTCCCCAACATTTATAACAAAAAGCTCCTTTTTTGGGTATGCGAAACTTCCGGAAGTTTTTCAATCTCACATACACAAACATAACGAAAGTTGAGATAAAAAATACTTTTGAAAAATCAAATAACTTTGAAGTAACCTTAACATTGCTAACATGCGACGAAGAAAGTGAAATGAAATTTCTCACGATAGCTTTGCAATGAACTTGCAAAAGCATAACAGGAAAAAAAAGCTGGAGAACAAAAGTATACAAAGAAAGTCATCGCGTGAAAGTTCATGGAAATTTCTTGAAATTTTCTCTTTCTCTTTCAATTTTCCAATCAATGATGCAGCGCATGCGCATTCAACCGCCGGCAGCAATTGTTAATAAAAAGCTTTCTGTTCTTTTCCATTCATGTATGTTGTCTAATCCAAATTTATATTTCTTTGTTGGAGTCGTTTTTTCTCTAACTTGCTGGCTACGTGCTCTTTCAAGCATCATGAGATGAATTTTCCTGAATATTTTTCGTTGCCCACTTGAGATTGCTTTGCTTTTTTGATTCATCATAAATATTTACTTAGCACGCGACTAGAATTGTTATTCGAACTTTTGGTTACATGTGTTTCATCAGCTTGTCAGAAAAATTAACAAAATCTATTTTGTTTCCTAACAACCACGTCTCACTCCATTAAACTTTCCAATAAAGCCTCTAGCACTTAATTGATTAATGTGAAAAAGATATCATTAAATGTAGCGATCCAACAAATTGAAATTTATTGACAAATCGTTCGCAAATAGAACTCTTTGAATACTTTCGCGGGGAAGCGAAAAATTAAAGGTCAAAAGTATTCACGATATCATTAAATCACACCACGAGTTGTTTTACGACTTGTTTTCGTCCATTTAATGTTGCTATCAACAAACCAGTTCTCCACAGTTCAACACGATAAATTCAATGTTCAACTGTTGCTAAAAATTGCCAAACTGCTGTTGTCACGCATACACAATCGATACTTTCGACCATTTGGTTAAGTGAAGGTCATCAAGCAATTAGAAAAAATTCCTTTCTTGAATATCATTTTACCAGATATTCTCATAGATGAATAATTGGATGATATCTGAGAATCTTTTTAGTCTCGAGACGAAGGAAGAAGAAATTTGTGAGTTCATTGAACGAAACAAAAAGGTTTTGTGACTGATGAAGCTTTTGAAAGGTAGGAAAACAAGGTTTGGTATTATTAATTCAACTTCGTTCTATCTAAAAGCATAATAAATAACAAGCAAGACCTTAAAATTTTATTCATGAGCCCTAAAAATTTGTTATCGAAGCGAGGAGTTTGTTAACAATTTATCAAATGGAATAAAAGGACAACTTGGCGCCTCCAAATATCGTCTTGTAATTTTCATGTCTTTTTATCATGAAAGACAAAAAAACAGAAGCTTGAACGTTAAGCCATTAATTATTCTATCGAAAAAATGCTTCTAAAAGCTGTTTTTTTTTTACGGTAAACATGCAACGATGTCCTACCATGACCTACATTTTAGAAGCACCCACGCTTTTCTGAACACCACGAATGACTTCTGAAATCTCTAGCGATGAAAACAGGATAATTAGAGAATAATAACAGAATATTTCATTACGAATTCTATTTTTTTTTGGCAACTGAAGGAGCGCAAAATTATTAAATTCAACCTCAAAGCTTCACTTCCATCAAGTATTTGTTTTCTTATTTTTGTTATTAAATTTAATATTTAGTGCAGTTCACATTATTAGATCGTGTTAGAAGGTACTCATTCGCAAGCTTATTTATCTCCTAGCTCAAATTCAATTTTAATTTCCTTCCAAGTAATCCGAAGCTTCAGTTGTGGCAAGAAACCTCAATTCTCTGTTTATAAGTATTTTTAATGTACTTATTGAAATGTCTCGTGTTCTGTGAATTGAAAAAGCTTTCGTCATATCATGCGATTAAAGCAAACAGACAAATATATTTGTTGTGGATATAAAAGGAAGCGATGACCGAACTGTAATCTTAAACGTTGCTTTAATAGAATTTTTTATCAAATTGATTATTTCCTTCAAAATTATTCCAGGGCACGTGGAAGTTCCATTAATAAAGTTCATGAAAACTTTCCAGATCAACAATGATCCGAAATCAAAATTTGTTTTTCCATAAACTTTTTTTAATCAACAAATTTACTATTGAAATTTTCCACCAGATTTCGAAGAGATTTTGAGCGTGAAATTTATGTAAATTATTTGATATTTTCCTAACCCACTATCGAAGTTGGTAGGAATTCAAATGAACCAATTTGTTTTTAATTTTATGATTTATTTCAAGCCTGAGCCTATCTACATGATCGTAATCATATTAAATTGGAAGCCGCAAGTGCAGTTTCAATGAATTGAAATCAATTAAATTATTTTCTGTTTTAAATTGCGTCGTTTGATCTGCCAAACACGAGCTATGAAAATTTTCATGGAAGTTGCATAAAAGCATCAAATTGCATTTCAACGATATTCATAAATCTTAATGGAAGAATTAAAGTGAACAATTCTGCAATCAATTTTAAGTGGTTTGCGGGAAGTGACGAGAAATTTTCTAATTGAGACAGATTTTTGACATTGAAACGAGATTTTAATTTTTATCACTGAATCTCTGAATCAAATTCAATCAAAATTTTCGACGCTGTTTCCAAGCCGATGGCTTTTGTTTCAATTGAAATTGATTCGAAGCGACGCGCATTCATCAAACATTTTTATAAAAGCAATTGAGTGTCATGAATTGCGTCTTCAAGTTTCTGCAAGTTCCTTTCTGTCATTTTGTTCTCCTTCATTGAACACAAATCGAATTTTTCTAAAAAGAAAATTTACTTCATGACACCAGCTTTTCTCGCTCTCAACTTTGTACGTTTCGAGGGGTGGAAATTCATTTATGAACATCAAAACAAAAAGAAGAGAAAAGTTTCTTAACAAAGTAAGAAAACGTCTTGAAAGACGCTTCGAGGATATTTGAAGGGCGAAAATCCTATCCGAAAAAAACAAAGCTTTTGTTTCCAAAGGGAAAAAGGGGAAACATTTTAAACGGGTCAGTTCCCTTCCACCGGCTTCTACTCAATAAATTTTCCTTATTTCCTCCTATTAAATTCACTCAGAAATTTGTTTCCAGTAAGCACTTCGAAGAAAAATTACTCAATGAGGAAAAGAGAAAGTGAGTGAGGGAAAGAGAAGGAGATAGAGAGGCTTGAACAACTACGTCATCAATTTTCATCAACGTGGAACTGTCAAGATATCTTCTATAAGGTTAGTCCTAAGCTACGCACATTTTTTTTACGATAGAAAAAGTAATTTTCATTCAAATAAGAAAAAAAAGCACGCCGCGTCATGAAGAGAGAGCGAGAGATGGGAAAATTCTGATCTGAGGCGTTTTCCCAGACAGACATCATGAATTGAAATCATAATTTTTTTATTTCAAAACTTTCGTCGTAATTTTCAGAGCAATATGTGCAAGTGCTTAGAAAAACTTAGTCATGGAAAATTCTTTTTCTATGTTTTCACAATCAATAATCAAGAATAAATATTTATTTCGAAATACTTTGAAATATTTTTACGAATTACATCATTACAACTTTTTCACTCTTCATTCTCATTCATTTTCACTTGAATTCTATAAAGCAACACTTTGACTGGCACTTTTCAACACCATCACGTCCACCTACTCACCATTTTGTAAATGATTTGCTTGAAAAGCATGCTGAAACATTGCTTGTATGATGGCACTTGAATTTTCATTCGTGTCATTCGAGAAACTGAGTTGCTGTCGATGAAAACGAAGGAGATTTATAGACTTGAGAGAAATGCCATCATCTCGTGCTGTCTCGTTTTCGCGTGTTGTATTGGAAGCCGCTTGTCGGGGATGCGCAGAAGCTTAAAAAAATCACGGCTTTGTAGCATAGAAAAAAAATCCGAAACGAGAGAGAAAACTTCTCCGGTATTAGTGTACATTTGTTTAATAAATCATTTCTCAATGAAAAATGCCGCTAACTAAAATTTAATCAAGAATCACGTGTTAATTTACTACGTAATTTACTATACAAACTTATCATCTTACTTTTTTTTAATCCCGAAGCTTGATAATGTGGCATTTATAATGAATGATATGATTAATTGCATTATGATAAGATAAACTTAAATAAGTTAAGCTTTGAATAGGTTCAAGTGTCTTATTCTCTTGCTAATTGTTGCAGGTGATTGGTCAAAAATGAAAATTCTTTGGACCGTGGTACTCTTTGTTTCATTAGCTTCTTCCATCGATACGAACAGCGTCGATGTAGTGAGAAAAGACATCGATGACAGTTGGTTTCCGGTGAACATTATTCATATAAATGATTTTCATGCGAGGTAAGACAATCATCAGGAAATGAACACTTTTCACTTGCTTCTCACATTTTTCAATTATTTAGATTTGAAGAAATAACTCCGCAATCAAATACTTGCAATCCTGAAACCACGACATGTGTTGGTGGATACGCAAGAGTAGTTACAAAGGTGAAAGAACTTCTTGAAGTGAACAGAGACAACAATCCATTATATCTCAATGCTGGTGATAACTTTCAAGGAACACTTTGGTATAACATCGGGAGATGGAACGTAACTGTTCAATTTCTTAACATGTTGAAAGCTGATGCTATGACGATTGGTAATCATGAGTTTGATCACGACATTGAAGGCGTTGTTCCATTTTTAGAACAAATAGAATCGCCTGTGGTTATTGCAAATGTTGAAGACAGTCAAGAACCGACATTTCAAGGAAAGTACACGAAATCCGTTGTGATCGATAAATATGATCGTAAAATTGGAATTATTGGTGCAATTCTTCGAACAACAAATAACATTGCGAAAACAGGTCAATTGGCATTTACAAACGAAGCTCAAGCAGTTCGTGAAGAAGCAGAGAGATTGAAAGCAGAAGGTGTTGACATCATTATTGTGTTGTCACATTGTGGCCTTGATCGTGATCGTGAAATTGCAAACTTTGGCGGACCTAACATTGATTTAATTGTTGGTGGTCATTCACATAGTTTCTTGTGGAGTGGAGATGACCTTCCAAGCGTCGATCGACCAGCTGATTCATATCCAGTTGAAGTGGTCCAAGAAGATGGTCATAAAGTGTTAATTGTTCAAGCTTCAGCTTACACAAAATATGTTGGTGACATCACTTTGTATTTTGATGATGAAGGAATCGTTCAGCATTGGGAAGGTGCACCACATTTTCTCGGGAATGATGTGACACCAGATGCTGAAGTCATGCAAGCACTTCAACCATGGAAAGAGATCGTAGATTTGTCTGGAAAGAGAGTTGTCGGTTCATTGAAATTCATGGCTAGTAGTTCGGGATGCTATCAACGTGAATGTCTTATGGGAACTTTACAAGCAGAATCAATGTTGCATTCACTTATTGAATCTGATGATCAAGGATGGGCTTATGCGACAATGGCCATGACAAATGCTGGTGGTGTCAGAGGTCCGCTGTCACCTGGTCTTCTAACTTATAGCGATCTTGTAACAACAACTCCTTTTGAAAACACGGTTGACACTTTAGAAGTGCAAGGTCGATACATTAAAGAAGCTTTGGAGAATGCTGTAAGATTTAATGACAGCACGAGTCTTTTACAAACAGCAGGAATGAAAATTGTTTATAATTTGGGAAATGCTGCATATGCTCGTATTGTGACTTTAGAAGTTTTGTGTCGTGTTTGTGACGTACCAAAGTTTGAAGCAATTGAAAGTGACACTTGGTATCGTCTTGCTATTAACGGATTTTTACTTGTCAATGGAGATAATTATGCCATGATTCGTGATAATGCAAGAAACCATAAAATTGGTGCTATCGATATCGATGCACTTACTAAATATGTCGAAGATAATTCGCCGATCAATTTAATTACACCAAGAGGAAGAATGACAATAATTCAATAAAAGAAAATATTTTTAATCATTGAATAAAGTTAATATTGATCTGCATTCAAAACAGTTGTAGAGTAATCTCATTTTATGTACGATTTCACGTAGGAACATTTTACGTTTTCTACATTGAGCGCCTTCGCTTCTTTTTCAGGGATTTTTAGTTTTCTACATTTGTCGTAAAGTTTTCTACATGGTTTACCGCGAAAATCAACAAGCAATGTCGCACTTGCACACCCTTCTAGCCATTTAATTTTTAAATCTTTGGCATTATTCTGATTTTGTTTGAAAAAATTTAATAAAACTGTGGAAAAACTACTGTTGAAAAGTGGAAATAGTTATTTTTCGAAAATAAATGAAGTATTGAATGATAAAAACTATATTAAGTGAAGTCGCAATTAAAATTGCATTCAAAAAACAGTGAAAAATGGAAACACCAAACAAAAATAATTTTCCTCAATATGTTTGTTCATCAATTATAAGTCCATCAGAGCAAGAAATATGGAATACAAATCAAGAAGAATCTCCTACATCAAGTGATGAATCTCCAAGATTTCAGGAAAATCCATTAAATCGTAGTTTTGATGGAACTGGAAGCAAAAGAGGTCGACCAAAGTCTGAGCTTCTTACAACGCTTATGATACAGGGATCAACATCGCCTTCAGCTATAAAGTGCAAATTTTGTAATCGCGTCTTTCCACGAGATAAATCTCTCTCAGCTCATCTCAGAACTCATACCGGTAATTTTTAATTCATTCATAAACAGCTGAAGAGGTTATAAGAATCCAATTAAATTTATTTTCAGGCGAAAAACCATATGTGTGCGATTTTCCTGGATGTTCTCGAGCATTCACACAAAGTGGACAACTTAAAACACATCAACGATTACATACAGGAGAACGACCGTTTCAATGCAGTTTTGTTGGATGTCAGATGCGCTTTACACATGCAAATCGTCACTGCCCCGATCATCCTTATGATGCTTTAAAGAGATGTGATGATGAATTTCTTTTAACTTCACCACCCGAAGAGCAGAGCACAGAGATTCTCAAGTGGTTACAGAAATATCGTGAGGATCGTCAAAATATGTTACAACAACAATCACTTTCACCTTCACCAAATACATCACGTCAAACACCCAAACGCTCTTCATCATCATTAACCTGCAGTACCAAAGGAAATGATGAGAACAAAAAGCGATTTATTAGTCGTTCAAATATTTCAACTCCCACTGGAGTTGTTAAACAGGAAAATTGTGATTTGTCAAGTAATGAATTGACTGCAATGTCACCAAGTAAAGCAGGACGTAAAGGTCTGATGTGTGAGATGGACATGAATGCTGGGTTAATACAAAGCTCAACCCCACTTCAACTTTCATCAAGTGTCAATGAAATTTCTGACATTTCATCTTTAATGATGGGAAGTCCAATCACGGGAAATAAACTCAAATGTTGTAGACCAAAAGTAATTTTATGGAAAGAGCCAATTGAAGACAATGATGAAGATCCATTAGAAAATGGATCAAACGAACTCACACCGAAAATTGAAAAAAGAATTACAACTTCTTCCTCCTCTCCAGTCAAAAAATCTTTCAATCCAAAGAAGAAATGGTTACGCGAAGCTTGGCAAGAAGATCTCGGAGCTAAACCACTTGATGGCTACGGCGTTAATCATCCTTTGTATCAATGTCCATCGCAAAACGACATTGAAAATTGGCAAATGGCCTCATCATCCAATGATTCAGTAAGCACAAGCAACGATGCCTTTTCAAATCCAAATCAAAGTAGACCCAGTGTGTTATTTATGGGACCTAATCTTAAGGATAAGATTGTATAATTAAATATTTTTTTTAGAAAGATGAATTAACTTCATTTTCACAAAATATAATATTAGCTGCTATGTAGATGTTAAAAGATATATTATATGGTACTATTAAACTTTTATTAAATGAAATAAAAGAAAAATGAAAAAACCGTTAAATTTGAATTGAAAATTTATTGAAGTGCAGAAGTTTGGAGCTTTCAGATTTTGGCGCCATTTTTAATACTTCAGCTTTGACGAGTGTAGAAGTTGAACTCAAAGAAACTTTTATGAGAATCTTTTCTAGTGGATTATTAAAATAAAAATGAATTCCAAAGCAAATAAATCTAAATTTTCAGCAGGAAGCAGCAGTCAACAGCCAAAGAAGAAGTTCAAGTAAGAATTTGAAGGATAATATTTGGAAAACTTTAAAGAAATAAAATCTTTTAGAGTTGACGATGAAGATGAAGACTTTGGAAGTCAATTCGAAGCTGATTTAGCTATGATGGAAGCAGATGATGTTGATCATGAAATTGTTAAAGGTGAAGGACCAGAAAATAAAGAAACAAATCAAAAATGGTCTCGTCCTGATCTCCCGCCAATAAATCCAAAAACTGATTCTGTTGTTTTCCAACAAATCGATGTTGATCATTACAATGGCTTGCCAATGCATGGAATGCCAGGAGCTCAAGTAAAATTTGTTAATTAAATTCTGATTTCATAATTTTATTCAATTTAAATCTTTAAAGATTCCTCCTGTTCCAATATTTCGAATGTATGGAGTGACAATGGAAGGAAACTCAGTCTGTGCTCACGTCCATGGTTTCGCTCCATTTCTCTACGTTCAAGCACCACCAAATTTCAACAAATCTCATCTCAGTGACTTCAAATCGTCTTTAGATGAAATTGTCATCAAAGACATAAAAAATAACAAAGAAAAAATTCAAGAAGCAATTTTAAGTGTCGAATTAATTCAAAAGCAATCAATTCACTTCTACATCGGTGAAGATAAATCAAACTTCATTAAAATCACTGTTGTGTTACCAAAATTAATTGCTGCTGTTAAACGCCTACTTGAACGTGAAATCGTCATGTCAGATATGAATTTTCAAGATTGTCGATGCTTTGAAAGCAACATCGACTTTGATATTCGATTCATGGTTGAGACGAAAGTTGTTGGATGTAGTTGGATTACATTGCCACCAGGCACATGGCAGTTAAGAGAGAAAGGCAAGAAGCCAGAACCAGAAAGTCGTTGTCAATTAGAAGTTGATGTCGCTTATGATAAATTCATTGCACATGAACCGGACGGGGAATGGGCAAAAGTTTCTCCACTTCGCATCTTAAGTTTCGATATTGAATGTGCTGGTCGTAAAGGAGTTTTCCCTGAACCACAACATGATCCAGTCATTCAAATTGCTAACATGGTGATGCGTCAAGGCGAGAAGGAACCTTTTCTACGTAATGTCTTCACTTTAAATACTTGCGCTCCAATTGTTGGCTCACAAGTTCTCAGTTTTAAAAATGAGAAAGATTTACTTGAAGCTTGGAGTGATTTCGTTCGTCAATTAGATCCAGACATTCTTACTGGTTACAACATCAACAACTTTGACGTTCCTTACTTACTCAATCGAGCAGCTCATTTGAAAGTGAAGAACTTTGAGTATTTAGGAAGAATTAAAAACATCAAATCAGTTATCAAAGAAACGATGATTCAATCAAAGCAAATGGGACGACGTGAGAACAAACAAGTTAACTTTGAAGGTCGCGTTCCTTTTGATTTACTCTTCGTTCTCTTTCGTGATTATAAACTTCGATCTTATACTTTAAATGCTGTTAGTTATCATTTCTTACAAGAACAGAAAGAAGATGTTCATCACAGCATCATCAGCGATCTTCAAAATGAGAATGAACAGACAAGACGACGATTGGCAATGTATTGCTTAAAGGACGCTTATCTTCCTCTACGATTACTTAACAAACTCATGTGCATTGTCAACTACATGGAAATGGCTCGTGTGACTGGCGTTCCTTTAGCTTGTCTACTTACCCGTGGACAGCAAATTAAAGTTGTCAGTCAATTGTTACGTAAAGCTCGCGATGCTGGTTATTTAATTCCAACTTACACAAGTCAAGGTGGTGACAATGAACAGTTTGAAGGTGCAACAGTCATTGAACCTAAACGTGGATATTATTCAGATCCAATTTCAACACTTGATTTTGCGTCTTTGTATCCTTCAATTATGATGGCACATAATTTATGTTACACGACACTTTTAAGACCAATTGACAAAAATCGATTGGAATTGAAGGACGATGACGTCACAAAGACGCCAGCTGGAAATTTCTTTGTTAAATCGAATGTAAGAAAAGGTTTGTTACCGGAAATTCTTGAATCTTTACTGTCAGCAAGAAAGAAAGCTAAAAATGAACTGAAATCTGAAACTGATCCATTTAAGAGAAGCGTTTTAGATGGAAGACAATTAGCATTAAAGATTAGCGCTAATTCTGTTTATGGTTTTACTGGAGCTCAAGTTGGAAAGTTGCCATGTTTGGAGATTTCTGGAAGTGTCACAGCTTATGGTCGAACAATGATTGAATTAACAAAACAAGAAGTTGAACAAAAATATAAAATGTCAAATGGCTATGAAAACGATGCTGTTGTGATTTATGGTGACACGGATTCAGTGATGGTAAAATTTGGAACGTCAAGTCTTGATCGAGCGATGGAATTGGGGAAAGAAGCTGCTGAGTTTGTTAGTGCAAAGTTCATCAAACCAATCAAGTTGGAGTTTGAAAAAGTTTATTTTCCTTATCTGTTGATCAACAAGAAACGCTACGCTGGTTTGTATTGGACATCTCCCGATAAATATGACAAAATGGACTGCAAAGGAATTGAAACTGTTCGTCGTGACAATTCACCGCTTGTCGCTAATCTCATGAATATGTGCTTGCAGAAATTACTCATTGATCGTGATCCAAATGCTGCTGTTGATTACGCCAAGTCAGTGATTTCTGATTTGCTTTGTAATCGAATTGACATTTCACAACTTGTCATTACGAAAGAGTTGACAAAACACGAATACACAGCGAAGCAAGCACATGTTGAATTGGCAGCAAAAATGAAGAAACGCGATGCTGGAAATGCACCAAAGTTGGGAGATCGAGTGCCTTATGTTATCACAGCAGCTGCTAAAAGTACGCCAGCATATCAAAAAGCTGAAGATCCGATTTATGTTCTTGAGAATTGCGTTCCAATTGACTTTCAGTACTATCTTGAAAATCAATTATCAAAGCCTTTGTTGAGAATTTTTGAACCGATTTTAGGCGACAAAGCTGAGTCAATTCTTTTACGTGGCGATCACACACGAACACGAGCATCGGCAACATCAAAAGTCAGCGCATTGTCATCTTTTGTTCAGCGAAGAGAAACTTGTTTGGGTTGTAAGACTGTTTTACCTAAAGAGCGAGAGAAACTTGCCCTTTGTCAACACTGTGAAAGCAAACAAGCTGAACTTTATCAACATGAAATCATGCAACAACATCAACTGGAAGAAAGATTCTCAAGATTATGGTCAGAATGTCAACGATGTCAAGGATCATTACATGAAGAAGTTCTCTGCACAAGTCGCGATTGTCCAATTTTCTACATGCGAACAAAAGTCAAGATGGAATTAGAAACACAGCACAAGCGAGTTATGAGATTTGGTTTGCCTGCTTGGTAAATTAATTCAATTCTTTTACTATTTTTTTCAATTCTCAATAAAAAATTTCTTTAACTTTATTTATCTTTTTCTTTTTCTATAACTTTTCCCACTTGTTTCAGGCTTTTCTTTTTCGACTTTTCCGTATCTTTTAAGTAATCCGTCGTTCTTTTGTGAAGGCTTTCGCTTCTGATTTCGGTATTGAAGTGATGCTGATGTTCCAAATATTGTTCTTCTGTTGATTGTCTTTTCCTTTTCTTTCAAATTACGTTTTTCCTCGAGAATTTCTTTGTAGTTTCTTGCTGGCTTCTTAGGAGGTTTCGCTCCGAGTTTGATAGCAAGTTGCTGATTGAGATCCAACTTCTCTGAAGCTGATGATCCAGAAATCCCAAAATTGATGATTTCCCTTCGTGCAGACTCCAACGTTACTTCCTTCTTGTTTCTCTTCGTTTTCTTTTTCTTTGGTCCATCACCAAATATTCTTTCAAATTCGGAATCTTCAGACTCACTTTTATTTTCTTCAGGCATCTTAAACTTGCTTTTCGGAAGTGAACTCTTTAATCCATCAAACTTGATAACTTTGAAGTCTGAATCAGCTTTAATTTGTTTTGCAATTGAAGCTTTCGTTTGAATCATATTGAATAATATTTTTATTCACACGTTGTTTTGATTTTGTGTTTGTTTACTTTTTTCAATGCAAGACTATTTTAAGTCTTTTCACCTCACCTCACCACATGGTGAAAAATTTCCTTTAAAAGGAAAATCCGTTAAAAATGTTCGACTAATTACTTCGTCTACCTAGTAACCATTAATTTTGATAAGCTTTAGTCTGCTATGATATTTTTAAGTATTTCATGAGAACCTTCAAACTTAGTGTCAATCGTCACGATATTTGTATATCGCTCACGCTCAATTCTTTCCACCACAAATGCTCACAATCTTCTCTAAATGCACAACATAAATACTGTTGACGCATGTGTAGAGTTCGCGACATAGAAAAGAAGGAAATTTTCGCGGAATTAGAATTTCTCTTCTCAGTTTTTATTTATATTTCTAGTGTTTTGGTTTGTTGTGAGTTTTCCTCCTGAATGAAATAAAAGAAAAAGAAAAATTGAAAACTTGTTCAAACGCTTTTTTCCCACTTTAATGCCACTCTAAAAATAATCATTTTCACATACGCTTAACGATCAAATTGTTTTCTTTTCTCGCTATAAACCATCTTCATAAATTTGATACAGCAAATGCTATTTTCCTGCAATTTTTGTCGCAAGAGTGAGTGAGAATGAAAATGGAAATTGTGGAGAAAATTACAACAAATAAATCAAAGCGGAAGTACATAAAAACAAAAGGATGACAAGGAGAATCTGTTGTCCTATATCTTAAAATTTACAACGTCGTGTAGACCCAAAATAATGACCTACATCAAAACATTTTAATTTGTGTTTGAAAAAGTGATTAATTTCTGCCCCGTTCGTTTGAAGAGAAGATCTTGAAAAGTCTTGAAAACTTTTCTCTCAGGCTAAATGCTGTCAAGGAAAAAAAATTGTAAAATAATTAATCACCTCATACCGCTTTATGTTTTTCTTCCATAGAAGTTGTGTGCCACTCTTCGAATTTATCTGCACCACTGTCTCATTTACCTCCCCATTTGCTAATAAAGCGTTTCATGAAATATTGAGAAAATTACTGTATTCATAAAAATGTGGCAATGCGGAAATAATTGCAAAGTTGAAAATTGTTTGCAATTGATTGCTTCCAACTAAAATAAAAAAATGACTAATGTGGAATTGAAATTTTGGCAATTCTTTTGCTTGATTGAGAGTAAATTGAAATTAAAAATAATTTGATGTTAATTGAGTTTTTAAATTCATTCTTTTGTCCAATGGAAAGGAAGAATTATCAAATGAAAGGAAAGAAATAATTTAGTGCATCGAAGACAACGATGAATTTATGAAAATTAGAATTCTAAAAATAATCTTTCGTTTAACGCTATCCATCATCAATCGTTTAAAAGAATAACAAATATTAACATGACAAGACGCGATAATTCAAGATCAATTTTTAGGCAATCAATTTTATATTTGCCAAGGATAAATTTTGTGAATTTTGTCTTTCCAATAAATAGAATCATCTGACAGCGACGTCGATTGCGAAGCAATTTCTTATTTTGTGAAACGTTTTTCTTCCTAATCCAACGGAAATCGCCATACATAAATTGATTTATAGTCGATCGCATGTTAACTTCCGTCCGCCCATCTCCGCCACTGGAAACTTTTCATAAAATCATTGATTTTTTTATTCTGACTTTCATGCGAGTGAAAAGTTTTTCCTTTCATTCTCTCTCTCACTTGGGAGTCATTTGTACTGGTTAAAGCTGTAAGAAACAGCAGAAAAATAGGAAAATTTGCTGTTGTTCTCATATCATTAATTATACAAATTTCTCACATTTCACTTTAATCTGTTTCCCGGTGACGCTGCAGAAATGTGCTTTACAATTATCCCCCTGTGCGTGTACTGTGACATCGTAGATAAATGTGTAACTGATAGCTTTTAAACGAAAGCTTGAGTGAAGAAAATTGTAATATAAAAATAAGCTTTCTCAAGTGATAAACAGAACAAAGAATAAATAAGAAGCAATTATGCCTTTAGCAGTATGAAACACACCAACAACATATTCCTTTATTCTCCTTCTGGATTTCGTTGTGCCATTTCTTGTAGTTAGTTTAACGAAAAAGCCATAAAACAAAGAAACTGATTTAAGTTCATGTGATAAGTGCTGGAAGCACTCTGTGCAGTTCCTTTCTTTCATTTCTCTTCTGTTTCCGTTGTTATCGAATTTTTTTGTTCTTGAGTTCATATCGAAGAAGAAGAAGAATCGTTTCGTTAGATATCCAATTAAATAAGAATTGGAAGTTTTGGTAGCTCAAAAAAGAAATTTGTGGAAGACGGAAAATCACTGTCACAGGTGCAAGGAATATGTCACTCACTGTATGTCAAAATACAGATGACAACAACAACAACAACAGCAACCAAGGCCAAATGAATGAACCGGCAGAAGGCGGTGATGTGACAATTTATAGGTAAAGTTCAGTTTTTTATTAATATTTTTCTATTGTGCATGACATGTCGAATAATCGATGTTGATATTATTTTATTATGCTGTTTGTAAAAATATTTTTATCCTTGAACGTACAAACACACAAGAATATTGAGTTCTTGCCTTTTTTGGCAATATTTCATTTGAACTAAATATCAAAACTTTGCTTTTTTTTGACACAGATTGTGTGCACCAATTGCATCATTAGATTGTATGGAAGAATTCAGTGGAAATACTGGCCTTGATTTAAGTATGAAAAATTGTGAAAAAATGTCTTTTAATTGTTAGTTAATTCGATTCATTATTATATCAGGACGTTCCGTCAGTTTGGGATCAAAAGCATCACTTAAAAATGTTTCCTCAACACCAGGTGAATGCAAAGTGAAAAGTTCTATTGTTAATTATACTCAATTTGTTACTGTTTTGAAAGGTTTGCGTTATAAAAATATCGGCAAGAGCGGTCTCCGTGTTTCAAACGTTGCTTTGGGAACGTGGTCGGTGTTCTCAACAGGCATTAGCGAAGATCAAGCTGAAGCAATCATCAAACTTGCCTATGAAAGCGGCATAAATCTTTTCGATTTATCGGATCTTCACTCGGGACCCCGTGCTGAGGTTGAAATGGGAAATATCTTAAAGAAAATGAACTGGAAGCGAATGACTTATGTTGTGACAGTGAAAATTTATTGGAGCAGCAAGTAATTTAATATGAAATATTTGCTTTATCTACCTAGTTGAATTATAAATGGCTTGGAACAAAATGATTGAGAATAAGTTTTGCATTGGCAATTAAACGATTATTCCTTAGTGTGCATTTATGTTAGACACAATGCAGCTTCTTTATCGATGTCTAGCTTTATTATATGAAAATAGTTAAACACGATAAATATTGATACACATAGGATGACGATAAATGTTTCATGAGGCAATTAAAATGTTGCACTTTAAACAAATGTTGAATGAAAACTTTTTAAATCTCTACGCATAAATGTTTAAATAACGACGACTTGTTGTGAAAGTTTTCCTCGAAAAGTATAAAAGGAGAAACATTAACCACACTACCTGCCTGTGAAAACGTTAACCACACAATCTCATAATTTTCCAACATACAACATAAAAACTCTCAAAAGTAAAGGAAAGTTTGTGAGATAGAAAATGCCGCATAAATGCACACTAAACATGAAAAAGGTTCCCTTATTGGGTTGACACGATAATCGCCCTTTCCTTTATCGTCTTCTAATCGAAGGAACTAAAATAAATCGAAAAAACTTTTTGCAGAGGTGAAGAACGTGGCTTATCCCGGAAACATATAATCGAAAGTGTTCGAGCGAGTCTTAAACGCTTACAACTTGACTATATTGATATCGTTATTATCCACAGAGCAGATTCAATGTGTCCAATGGAAGGTAATTTCATTCGAGTGTGAAGCATATTTTAGTGACTTTTATTCACAGTTTAATTTTATGACTTGTTTATGTAGAGATTGTCCGAGCAATGAATTACGTCATCGACAAGGGTTGGGTGATGTATTGGGGTAGGTTCAGTTAAGGAGAAAAGAAAAATAATTGTCAAACCAATTTTTATACGTTTCGATGACCTTTTATAGGCAGCTCAAAGTGGTCAACGACTGAAATAATGGAGGCATACACAAATTGTCGTGAGTTTAATTGCGTCACGCCAATCATGGAACAATCGGAATATCATATGTTTTGTCGTGAACGTGCTGAATTATATTTACCCGAAATGTACAATAAGATTGGCGTTGGTTTAATGGCATGGGGACCACTTGGCATGTACCTTACTGAAAATAGTGAACGTTTATTCTTCACAAAGGGATCGTTAAGGTCAAAAACTCAAAACTCTTCATGGACCGAAGATGAAGTAGCCAAAGAAGTCAGTAAAATTAAAGAAAGCATGTTAAAGGAAGTTTTAATTAAATTTCGTTTCCCTTTTTCAGGATCGAGTTGATGAAGCTAAAAAGCATTTAGAGAAAGTTCGTGATTTAAATTTATTGTCCGAAAAGCTAGGATGCTCGTTAACGCAACTTTCAATAGCATGGACATTGAAGCACGAGCCTGTTCATTGTCTTTTAATTAGTGCAAAGACAGTTGAACAACTTACGCAAAGCCTTCAAGCTTTACAGGTAATAAAATTGTTTAATCGATTCAAATCTTTATCGATTTCATTTGAAACTTTTTCTTTTCAGCTTCTGCCACGATTATCCGTATCAGTAATGCTAGAAATTGAACGCATCTTAGATAACAAACCTGTAAGACCGCCAATGATAAGCACTCTTCAAATGCGCGGTTTGATATCGCATGGTGAGCTTAACTTTCGGAACAATTCTCTCGATGTCTGTTGTAAAACAAAAAATATTTCTTTCTTATCAATCCACATCTTCTTTTTGTGTACTTGAAACTTTCGTTAAAGTCGGGCCCGATATCGTAGAGAACTGACTTTGTTGTAGTGTCAACGCACAGTTTATTTCTACGGGTGGTTGTTTGGCTGTCCGATTAATTAATCTCAATTTTCGATTACAATTTAATCTTCTGCGATAATCTCGATCGACCAAAATGAAATTATAAGAAAAAAAAATAGAAAATTAAAACACTGGAATTCACGACACAATCACATGAACGGCATTCACTTGACATAAAAGACACGACATAAACATGATAACAAACGACATAGCCACACATTTTTGTTATATTTTTCAGTACAAATATTTTTGGTCGTAATGTTTGTGGATGTCGCATCTTTATGAATATAAAACCCATCCACAAAAATCATGAAAAACTTTTTTTCGGTAATTCCTGAATTTTCAACTTTTTTTCTTTCTATTCTGTTTTATTTTGATTCAATTCTTTTCTGATTAACCGGCTGAATGACGTCTCGCCTTAAATAAAATAAAATAAATTAAGAAAAAAAAACAAAACAGAAAAAAAAACTTTGCTTCAATTATGCTATTTATTTTAAGCTTAGCATGAACTTGTAACTTGATTTAACATCTTTTTAATTAAATTTTCCAATCTTCTTCTTCTTCTTTCTTTCCTGATTTTAATCTTCAGAACACTTTGGTACTGAAGTGGAAGTCAGCACACCTGGATCGATACGTGATGAAGAAGAACAAGCAACAGAAGAACAAAAAGAAAATGGAAAGCTTGGATTTTGCGAGATTCAGTGACAGCAGGAGCCGCCACTTCGTAAAACTTCTCGAAAATTTAGTAAAAAGTTTTTTAATCGCTTAAGTGATTCGTTAATGAATAAACGAGACTCAACAATAACCAAAATTGATGAAGAAAAGGAAGAAGTGAAAATAATTCCGATGTCATCGCCAATAAGAGTTAGAAAACCTCTAACTTATCATCCACCATCGAATGTTCCGACACAATCATCAGCCACTAATATCAAAATAATATCGCAGCCTGTGTTGCTAATACCAAAAACATCTCACGATCAACAACCTCATAAAAGCTCTTTGTTGAATTTGAAGTCTTTGAGTACAAGTTTGAGGATTCTTAAGAATCGTACATTCAGCGATTCATTAGAAACTGTTGAAGAAACCACTTTGGAAAGCATCGACGAAGCATCGCAAAGTCTCATAAAACGAGATATTTTTGAAAGGAATTTAGGGAAATTTGCTACAAATTCAAATGAAGCTGAATTTCAATCGTATACTGAGTACACACAACAGCAGAATTTACTCAGCCCAAAGACTCGCACAAAGCTTCATTTTAAGAATCAAAAGATTTTTTCACGTCGTTCATCGACTTCAGACATTGGCGATGTTAATCAACAAAAACATTTCAATTATTCCGATATGAGTACGTCATCAACAAACGTTAAACAAGCTGATAAAATGCTTAATGATATTCGCATAAAGAATCTTGAATGTGCACGATCACCACGACGCATCAGCACAACTTAATAAATTTATCGAATCTTTATGATGAAAAGTTTTTAATTTCTCTACATACAAATATCGTACTTAATGATAAGTTTTTTAAGATTAATATTTGTAGATGCGATGCTTTTCCTGCAAATTAAAAAGCTTTTATCCAGTTCCTTTTAACTAGATAGTTAATCTTATCACAGATTATCTTAAGCTAGGCTTTGTTCTTCTAAGATAATTCTAAAGAAATGAAAGTAAATGACTTAATACAATAATGACGAACGGATAAAAGGTGTATGAGAAAGTTTATAGCAATATTTCCTTAGTGATAAATTAACTAACTTCATGCACATGATTAATTTCCGTCTCTCTACCGTCGACGTAGATAAATGCCAGTGATTTTAACTTATTTCTCTTGCGCGCATAAAATGAAAGAAAAAGCACGAAATTATTAATGATTATAAAAATTAAAGAAAAAAGTTCTAGTTGAAACTTTAGAATAGAAAATAAATTGCATTAAAATCATGAGAGCCTTAATAAGTAAGAAGAAAAAGTTTAGTAATGTAATTAAATGAGAATAATTAAACTGCTCTTACATATATAAAGTGAAAGCGCTTCGGTAGTCGCGAAGAACTTCACCAAACAAACAAATAATGAAACAAAAAATTAAACTCGTGATTATCTACATAATTAAGAATTATTTTTAATTACAAGTTACAAGCGATATAAAAAAGCTTTTAAATAAGAACAAGAAATATAAAAATTGAGAGGCTAAATCATAGCTAGAAAAATTAATGAAAGTAATTACGCAAATTTAAATAAATAATTATTACTTAACTAGGATAAAATAATTCGACTCTTATCATGGGAGATAATTTTAAAGATTTTATGAGCAAATTAAGGCATTGTTAATTGTGATTTGGTTTTTATTTATGAAGTGGAATTTCTCCATTCGTTTCCACAAGCAACTAAGTATGGTAATCACAGTGTGAGATATCTTAGGACGGACGAGCAGCAATTTTTAATGATGAAGAAATTATTTGATCAGAAATTCTTTATGATTAAAGAGAAAAACAATATTTTATTGCAATTAACATTTCTGCACAAATCAATCGCCAAGAGAAGCATTCAAAACAGGTTTTGATTAATTAAAACAGTTTCATGCGATCCATATCTAAGTTTTCTTTTTCTGCCTGTTCAAGACATCACCACACTAAGCTCGTCATAAATTATAATCTATTTTCCTTAGAGTCAAAGATGATTTACTTTAATTAAATGAATAATAATAATAATCGATTCCAGATAATCGATTAAAGCTGATTTTAATGATGGACGACGTATGGCATGAGGTTTTTCGCTTTATCTCATTATCTAATTCCTAAAGAGCGATTTTAAAGAAAAACTATAAATTTTGTTGAGAAATTTGAAAGTTCTATTGAGTAGTTTTGTTGATGAAGTTTTAGCTAATGAAAAATATTTAAATCTTTTAAACTAGTTAGTAAGAAAATGATCAAAGAAAGAAATAAAAATTCAAGCTTAAATGAGTGATTTGATTTCTTGCGTCCATGAATGAACACAGAAAGTTGCAATTTATAAATAAAAAAGTGAGAAGAACATGCAATAATATTAGATAAATTATTTAATTAAATTTTTCAATTACGCATAGAAAGGCACGATTGAGAAAGAATTTAATTTAAATGGAGAATTTTCATGTTACGTCACAATGATTGGACTGATGTAGATATGCTTGTAAGTTGAGTAGAATGACGATGATGATGAGTGAGATTACTGATAAGTTTTCTCTCTTAATTCAATCAAAAAGTTTTCGTGACGCATGACGAATTGTCAGGTTGAAGATGAAGAAATGATTGATAAACTTTGAGTGACGTAACATGTTGACCTTCCAGTTTCACAAGATAAAAAAAATACTTGAATTGAATTTTTAATGAAGATTTACATAAATAAATGCTTTTAAAAAGCTAGTCATTCAATCTTCCAATTAAGCATTTCTGAAGATTCATTTGATTATTTACCTTTCGACTTTTGGTGTAATAACTAAAAAATGCTTTTAGGAAAATCTTAATAAAATAATTTTTTGACAATGTGATCAAGTTCACAACTAATGAATCGGAGAATGTTTTTGTTTACTTTAATTACATTCGATCTTAGAAATAAAATTCAATGAAATGAAAATGAAAAGATGAAGTTAATTATTTAATAGCTTTGAATCGTCCTCCGTCTTATTGAATCATCAACGGATGTTTAACCTTTCAGAGAATGCAGGCGGAAAGTGAGAAGGTGTGAAGAAATATGCGCACGATTCAAACCAAAATTCACACATTAGCGATAAACAATGTCAGAATTCGAACCTGAATGCTTCAACATTTTCCTTTTATTTTTGTTAAAAACAGGTAAAGGTCAGATTTGACACGGTTCGTTGTTGATCGCTATCCGTGTCGCCTTCAGTCTTGCTGTGCAGCTTGTTATGTTTTCGGACTGAAACCACAAGCATCTCAGCGCTTTTTATTGCACGTGTAGATCTATACGATTAAGAAAAAAAAACGACAAAATACAACAAGAAACTTGTATCTGCTGCAATCAGGTGATTTATGTTTCCAATAGACCATTCACAAATTCCATTTTATGGTCTCAATTTAAGATCATTTGCAGTGCAAAATAGAAACTTAAGTGCAAAGCTTGATGTACACCGCAAGTAATTCAATATTGCATACTAAATTGATACCTCCATTGCCGTCATAGTCACTTAACAAGACATTTATATTAAAAGTGTTTTAATCACATAAAGTTGCTTCTGTTCAATTTACAACAAGTCAACACTGAAACTTAAGGATTAAATGTTAATTAAATCAATGGCTTGACTAAAATTGTCACAATTGCCCAAGAAAAAAAGAAATTTAATAACAAAATTTATTTCAAATGTAAATATTTATGACAAGCGTAGACTTGAAGGCTACTGAATTAGGTGCTGAACTAAACAACGGTCGTGATAAATATTGAAATACTTCTGGCAAAATATTAATTTGCGATTAATCTCTAAATCTAGTTTTTTGATTTTATACAGCGTTATTGAAACTTAATTGCAATTACCAATAAGTTTATAGCGATTTTTCTTCATGCATGTCAGTTAATCAACTACATGATGTCTTTCTGATTAATTGTTATGATTATTTTTTATTTCAGTTATTAAACGAAAGATTTGCTTAATTAATAATTCAAACAAAAAGATTTTCTACTTTTTAAAGTGCATTCAACATAAAATTTTATGTCGCTCTGTCTGATTTCTTGTGTGTGCGTAGATTACATTAATATTTGATTTATTGTAATGTCACGTTGCATTATAGAATCAGTTGAATAATTCTTAAGAATCATGAGGACAAAGAACTGATTCCGATTTACTGATTAAGTTTAATTCTTCTAGAATTTCCAATTAGGCAGAATATTGATGACTCTCTACACGTTTTATAATCTCCTCGCCTTCGTTTTTATTTCACTAAAGGTAGTAAATTTACACACATTGCATTTCTCTGATTGAAGCTGACAAATAATCTCACTGTTTCTACTGTTTACGGTTGCATGATCGTCGTTGGAAACGATTCTGAATACTTTTAATCGCACTGTCAAGACATGAGGGGCGGTTTGAAGTAAAGACGCAAAAAAAATGAAAAACGCATCAATCATTGAACAATGGTTAAGATTGAAAAGAAAAATAAACGCGAATTGTGCAATAATTCAAGATCACTTACTCACCAATAACTTTAGCACGGTAACCAGCAAGTTAAGTATTCATTTATGTAGAAAGAGAGAAACAGCAACACAATAATCCCTTTGATGTTTGTGCAGTTTTAAAATCGTAAACTATTTTATTCTGTTTATATGACATTGCATTAATTTGTATGATTATGGACAAGATGTGAGGGACAAGATGCAGCAATGGTAAGAAATAAAACAATTACAGAAAGCTTTTCGAAACGACCTTTTTTGTCTGCCAAGCCCAAGTTCGATTCATCGTCCCATCATTTCGCATTCAGAGAATAGATGAAAGTTTTTTTTTGTTATTTTTACCTTAAATGACCAGTTCAAGCACGCAAACAATTAAAGCTAGGGCGTCTGAATGTTGTAGGAATGCAAGGCTACGGTTGTAATAAAGGAAATGCGGTCTTCATTATCCGTCACCTTATTATGCATGAACATGAATATTCTATTCATCACAACTTCCTTTACCTTCCGTAACCGCATCCTTCGTTCATGTTAGGTCATTTAAGGTAAAAATCGAGCTAAACTGCCTCATTGGTCTAGTGGTCAGGTGTCGGAATTAAATGCAAGTGTACTCTTGCAGGTCCCAGGTTCGAGTCCTGGCATGGACAAAAAATTATAATGAGGTTTTAAGAAGTTTAGATACTTCGGCTTGATAATTAAAAAAGTTTTTCGCCAACAGGAAAGCGAGATATAGAGATAAAACAGATTTGAAATCCCTTTGTATCGATTTAATATGCATGCATATTAAGGAAAACAATGAGAGAATTCATACTGAAAAAAGGCTCTATGGAACTGTACTGAAAGCGAAACAACTCTCTCTCCCACTAATCTCGAGTATGGGACGAGTAAATCCCTCTCCGTGAACTTCTGTAAAAAGGCTTGTCTGTTGAAGTACTCGCGTTGAATTTTACTAACAGTCTTACAAATTGTTAAAAATATAAAGAAAAGAAATTCAATAAAATTCACACATTTTTTTTTTTTTAACACGAAATGCCAAAATGATGATTGCAATAAAAGTGTTCATTGACGTGTAATAAAAAGCTCGATGGGTGGCTGCCAATCGGGCGTCAATTTGTGTTCAACTTGCTGCTATTATACTGTTGATGATNATTATGGACAAGATGTGAGGGACAAGATGCAGCAATAGTAAGAAATAAAACAATTACAGAAAGCTTTTCGAAACGACCTTTTTTGTCTGCCAAGCCCAAGTTCGATTCATCGTCTCATCATTTCGCATTCAGAGAATAGATGAAAGTTTTTTTTTTGTTATTTTTACCTTAAATGACCAGTTCAAGCACGCAAACAATTAAAGCTAGGGCGTCTGAATGTTGTAGGAATGCAAGGCTACGGTTGTAATAAAGGAAATGCGGTCTTCATTATCCGTCACCTTATTATGCATGAACATGAATATTCTATTCATCACAACTTCCTTTACCTTCCGTAACCGCATCCTTCGTTCATATTTCCATTGAAACCGAAAGAGAAACATGATTCGAATGAAATATGTCACATTATCCATACATAAGCAATAAGTAGGTAAACAAACCCATAACATCTAAATATGTCTCCAACATTCATTTTCGTGTTGATGAATCTTTAAACGAAACTGAATTCACAAGAAGTTGGAATCTTTTTATTAATAAAATAAAACAAAACATGAGAACAAGAACGCAAGCAAATCTTAAAGAATGTCAACAGTTTATTTTTATTTACGTTACTTCGTTTGCCTCAATCATGACTTTACTTATAATAAATCCCGAGAAAGAAGACGAATAGAGAAGAAAAAAACAGCAAAGAAGTCGATAATAATCCATGATATATTTAAGAGCGTCTCTCATTGCTTTGTTTTGTGAAACCAAAACCTATTATTAAATTAAAATGAAATTTATAGCTGCTGCGCTTTTGCTACCAATGTCATTGGGGTTGGCTAGTTGGACGTCGTAATAAATTGCAGATTACTATCATCGTCAAGTTGAATGTGAATCTCTTTCATCCGTTGTTCTATAAGCGTGGAATGCAATGACATTCTAAGAAAATTTTGATTAATTAACAACGATATTCACTTCATTACTATTCTGAAATTCCTTGAGGAATGAAAAACTGTAACAAAGTTTGAAATTGATTTAAGTGACGGAGAGAAAAAAATTAGCAATTAAAATTGAATCATCTTTCTGGTCGATGGTTAGATGATTAGTTATAGTTAATTGAAGCTAGTTAAGTCAATTAATCATAACTTTATTGTCAATAAATAATATCAAGCAATCACAATTCTTATCCGCTTTTAATCGTTGCATAAATCGGTAGAGAAAATCACAAAGCAAAATGCATTTATTTAATCATGGACGATGTCGAAACATGCAAAAATATCTAAACCGGTTGAAATCTTCGACTTTACAATTATTTGCATTGATTTGGAGCATTAAGTGGACTTTCCTTTACTTATACTTTATTTTAATAAAATAACGAAGAAAATCTTATGACGCATACTCAAGAGCAATTTCGCTTTATTTCCCTTCATCTCTACCTTTAATTGAACCATTTTTATGGCTATTTAAAGCTTCCTTCTTGCTTTTTATGTTTCTCATTTATGTGTGTTTAATTGTCTTCAAGGGAATTGTCAGTTTTTTTACACGTAATTTCTGCTCCCTTTTCCACGTTCGGTTCGATTTGTTGTTGTTTCTGTCTCTGTTTATGCTGCTGCTGTTGCTGTTTAGCTTGGTGAGTCTCTACATCACCCATGAAAGCATATGAAATAATAATCGAGAATGGCAATAAGGGCCAAGACAACAACGGCAGAAACAAAACATGGCTTTTATTTTTATTGCTGAAAAATTTATTCTCTCTTTAGCTTCTTATGGTGTGCATTTAAGTATTTCGCTTTCCATTGCCTTGCCTGCTTATTCATAATACAAAATAAATCATTTTTATATTGTGCGTTTGTTCGCTGACAAAATGTAAAAGATCGCAAGAAAGCGAACCCACTGCTGCTGCTTTTTGTCGAAAAGATTTTTATTGTACATTATTTTCTTTCGGGAACAAGTTGCAAAATGATGTTCACTTCTTCTGCTTCGATTTTTCATTCTTTACGCTGTGGTTCATTGATTTATACCATACACATATTAATTCATTTGCATTTCACATCAGGATGTAAATTGTCATCATTGGTAAACATGACCACGAGTCGAGAATTCTTTTTTCCTTCTTTCTTTCTTGTCGCAAAATATAAAATGAAAAATGAAAGAAACATTTGGATATTTTGTCCTCTCACCGAGTCAGGAAGATGAATTATTGCAAAACATAAGAAATAAAAATTTTCACGCAATAAAAGACTGAGAAATGACAGTGAGAAGCAAAGGTAAGTCATAAAACAGTTTTCTTTGGTTTTTTGCTTGTTCAAGGTTTTCTGAGATGTTTCTTTGCGACTAACATCAAAGTGCGACAATAAATTCGACCATAAAAGTTCAAAATTGTGAAAGTTCAATGGTCAGTGTTGTCTTGTTTGTCCACTCATGTTACATTTATAAATCTTTTTGCTTAAATATTATAACAAAAAATTCGCAATATTTAAGTCTCTTTTTAAGAGAAAATTGTTTTAAAATTCATCTGAAAGTTCATAAATCAACTCGGCCATAAAATCGTCTTTTCACTTCGCGTCGCGGTCATGATTGTGCTAAAAGATTACATTTCCATTCAATTCAATCGATAAGCAGAAAGTATTTCGTAATTATTAAAAAAGAAATATAAAAAAAATGCAACGGTCTGCAAAAAAATGCGGCACTTACTTTGCTTCCATTGATTGCTAATTAAAGTAAATTTTTCATAATTTTTTCTCTTCGCAATTGATTGAGAATTGGGATTATTTCATAAATAACGTCATTGAAATCACTGCAACTTACAGTTAAGTTTACGACATTCAATAACACGGAATAATGTTACAAAAATGTAATGTTCCGTCATTTCAATGTCAATCGCTAACATGAAATTGTTGTTGCGTAAATTTCTTCATTTTCATGTTGATTTATTTCACTTAATTGGATATGTAAACATTTTTGGCTGTTGAGTAAGTCGTTAATACATTAAGCCCAAGTCTGAAAATACTCAAAGAATACATTAATATTTTTAGAGGAACAAAATTTAAAATAATTTTTCACCGAAAACGATAACGATATTCATGGCTAAATTATTTTCCATTCATTTTTTATGTAGATATGTTTGCACGAGTTATTTAAAAAAACCACCACAGCATAAAAATCTTTGCCTTGAGGAAAAAAGCTGTCAGATCGTTGGTTGCAAAATATTCCATTGAGAATAATTTCACACATGACTCGCACGATTTCAGACCAATCTCAGGCTGCTTCTGCATACCTCTTATCTCATGATTATAATCTTTAAGATATTTTGAAACAACAAATTTAAAAAATAAAAAAACTAACGAAAATATTGCACAAATATTTATAAGAATGTTTCTTGTATTGTGCATAAATTATGATGTTAAACATTTTCGTATGAATTTCAAAGTCCCTCTCAACTTCATTTCCTTGGCATGCACACAAGGATCAAATTACCAAAACAACTGTTGTCAAAAATTGTATGGAATGAAATAAAATCCCCCAATAAATTTAATTAATATGCGTTGTAAGACTTTGTTCGCCTGATGACAGAAACGCTTATGGCGAAAAAGATGTGAACGAATAAATGCTTTACACCAGTATTTTATCATTAAATTTATTATTAGTCTCGTTTTTCTCACAAATCTTTTTCCTTTTCATATCTTCCTTAGCTTTATAATATCAAATGAACTTCGCTAAATACTTCATCGTTTTAATTCTTCATCGCAATCACTGATATTCAGAGAAAAGCAAGGTTACAAAAAACGATATCTAAATTAATTTAATGAAGCTCTTTTCGGAAGAAATCTTGTTTGCTGCACAAAGAGAGATCAAGTGATCAGTGCAGCGAGTAAGAGCTTAAAACATAATTTATAATTCCTTGCTTTATTTTAATTTTTTACGACTTTCATCTGTATCAATATCATGCATAGGCATAAGACGAAGTCAATAATATAAAGAGAGCAGAACTGCTACTTCAGACGCTCGAACACTACCGCATGTCACATGGTCTTCGTGGTGAAGTTTACTGTGGTAAGTTTCGTGTCGGGATTGCGCATTTTTTCTCAATTCTCTTTCTACGATATTTACTATCGACTGTCTCACATGTAAAATATTTAAGTTACACTGATAGAAATATTTTGTTACGAAAGAGAAAGAAAATCTTAATTTTGTGTTTTTCTTAGAAGTCCTTTTGGAATTTGTTAGATATGATTGTATGTCTAGGGCGCATTAAATATCACCCATTAAAGATGCTTCTATCACGATTTGACAATAAATATAGACAATAA